GCCGACTGAGATGCCAGCGTCGCTCCCCACATAAGCGCCATTTTATGCACACATACAGTCATACAGGCAGCCGAATGAACAAACGAGCAAAATTCTCTCAATGTTGCGCTCGGGTGCGCTGCTGCGACGATGTCTTGATGCCTCCACGTGTTCTGTTGAATTGCCGCTGCTGCTGCTGCTGCTGCTGCCGCTGCCGCTGCTACTGCCCGTGCTGCGCTGCTGCTGTACGAGTATGTGTGTCGCGTTCTTTGGGCTTTCGTAATCGGCCTAACATCCATTTGCCTTGGTTCGTGTGCTCGCATCTCTTGCATCAATGGCGCAAGGGCAATAAAATGGCAGAGTGGTGTTCTCATTGTTGGTGTTTCTATTTTTATTTGTTGTTGTTTTTGGCGCGCGCTTTTTTTTGGCGCTCAGAGAGGCATGCGCGAGTACTCTCCTGCCCACACACACACACGCCGCATACATTCAAACAATGGCAAAGTGGCGAAGCTAGTGTTGTTGTGCAAAAGCTCGCTCTCGTACTTTTGTTGTAGTAGTGTTTTTTTTTCTTTTGGGCGCTGCAAAATGAATGCGTATTGCTTTTGTTTTTCGTTTTTCTCCATTGGAAACGCAGGAGAAACGAGTTTTTTTTTCTCGGGGTCAGTTTTTAAATTGCTCAAACGTGTGCGACGAAGTCGACATCAGACATCAGACCGCAGACCCGGCCTGAGCGTTTGCGCTATGGAACTTGTTGTTCTGTTCTCTGGTCAATAATAATGAACTTTTAATTAATAAAAGACGCAATTTTGGGTTAATTTTTTGGTTTTTTCTTATTAAATTCAAAAACGAGCCACACAATTACATGCTGATTGTTATGCAAAGGAATTCGATACTTTTTTGTTGGGTACGATTTGCAATTGCATTGTAAAGGCGAACATTGTAATGGATTATGGATGGGGACTTCGCAGAGACTTTATAGGATAGTGACCAGCAAGCTGTTTTCCCACGAATTAACTGTTGTTCGTTTACAAATAAAGGTGGAAGGATTCTGACAGTGAACTGTGTTAATTTGTGGCGCTTTGTTCTAAACCATGATCCAACAGGAAATTACGAAATCTGCACTTCCGTGAACCCTAAATTCATAAACTAAACGATCTAGCATATATTTTTTGTTCTATACAAGGAAGCAGGAAGAGTTTCAACAGTAATTCTAAGGCACAATTTGTGCTAGTCCGCATTTCTTCCAGAGCTTAAAGCAATTGCCATTTATAATGGTTCACGTAATTTCCCGCACACTCATATGCACATTGTATATGTATGTGTGTGTGTTTGCATGTAAGACTACACCTGGTGGTACTTGCAAGTTTTTCTACCCTTACCAAAGGAACTTTCTATTTTTGAATCGTTACCCACGAACGTTTTCCACATCAGAACACAGAACCGAGCTTCACTCATCGTCAGTTACCTCATGCGACTTATGCAATTGCCTGCAGAGTGGCATGTCAGGATAACAATGCTCTCCTGGGCATACACACTCACACACAAACTCACCCCCAAAGATTGCTGTGTGTGTGTGTGTGTGCGAATGGGCGGCAGTGCATACATACAAAAAAGGACGCGCAGATGCAGAGTTGCAGCAATGACATCATATATTTTGTGTAGTGTTATAGTTCTGTTCAACTTCAGTTTAATAAAAACTTTAAACTTTGCTCAGTTTCTGCGAGGAATTGGTTTTTTTTTTTTGTAGTTCTGTAGGAAGTTGTAAGGCTTCAGGATGTTTGAGCGGCATAGAAAGTTTAGCGCCAATTGCAAGCTACCGCTTGCATTCCAATTGGATTAAAGTTGCGAAAAAAAAACATTGCAGAACTCGTGAGTGCGCAAGTGGTTGGCCATTAACAACGAACAATGTGTAAGAGAGTGCGCGCGAGAGTGAGAGAGAGAGAGAGCGCGCGCGGCAGTGATGGAGAGCGCGTGTAGTGCAGAGAGCGCGCACAAAGTTGAATCCAATAAGAGTGTACTGCGCTGCGTTTCCTCACTCGCTAGCTCGCTCCCACACCGACTCAAATCTGCATTTGCAATGAACTTTAAGCAAAATCAAAAACAAACAAACGCACTCACTCACACACATGCACGCGTACCCCATGTGTACGTGCAAAACTTGTTTTTTAGCTGGCTTTTTCTCTCTTTCGCGCTGCTTTTGCTGCGCTCTACTGCGCTTGTAGAGCGTGTGTGTATGTTCTTGGTTGCGTTTTCTTAATACTCTCACTCTCTGCTGCCAGTGCTGTTGCGTTGCCGCTGCCGCTGCTGCTGCGGCTGCGGCTGCTGTTGCTGCTGCTATTGCCATCGACAGTGGTGGTTGCTGTGTTTGTGTGCGTGCCAGCATGTGTGTGTGCGTATGTGTGTGGCTGCGCCGCCGCCTGATGGGCCATAAACGCAATTTTTGAATTTCATGCTAGTCTATTCGGCCCTAGGTTTCGGTGGTGCTCGCAGCTCGCAGCAGCGCAGTGTTGTGTGCATTCGTCTCTCGTGTAACGTTTTCTATACCAAATAAAATTAAACAAAACAAGAAATGCAAAAAAAAACACAAAATTTATACAAATAATTTTTTAAAACGGAAACGAACTGCAACAACAACTACAAAATTTACGTGCACAAATTTTCTGCATAAAACAATTTGTCAGAAGCCGCTAAAATGTTAAACCAATACTAAATTTTATAAAATTGTAACGTTTATTTAAAGTGAATAATCAAATATTTTAATGCAAAGTCGAGCCAAACAGTGCAGAAAATATTCAGTTCCCAACAACAATAAATGTGCGTTTAAATTTATTATTTAGCTTTAGTTTTGTATTCATCAACAACAAATATACAAGCATACATACACGTACATACATATAATAGGTATCTGTATACTCAAGGCCTGCAACAAATGCAACAAATTATATGCAAAACTGTTCATGTGCGAGTGTGTGTGTGTTTCCACATACAATACCAATAAGTCCAGCAGTGATTGAAGGTAATTTTAATTAGCACTCACGAATTTCAACAACAAATACATTCGTAAATATGCGCCCCAGCTTAACAACAATATCGAATACCCGCGCAAGTGCATTTGCCAAGATGGAGCTTTTATGTGTTTTTGTCAAGTTTTTTTTTGTTATTGGGCCCAACAAATGCCAAAAATTTATCTATACACATGCATTTGTGTTAGTTAGTTTGTGTGTGTGTGCATGTTATTGTTGTTGCTGTTGCTGTTGTTGTTGTTGTACTTGATTTTTCACATAAATGGGGTTGCAACTCGAAAACGCAGAATAAACGAACAAACTTGTATGCATGCGGCAAACGACGAAAGGAACGTCTGCATTTTTAATCAAGAAACAACAATGGTAACAACCAAAACTGCCTGCAACAACAAGAACAGCAGCAGTAGCAACAACAGTGTGCTTGAATAATAAACAACCCTACTCCCCACCCCATTACCTCTACGGCCTATCCACGTACACCTATACAGCCAAATCCAACCAACTCAACCCCTTTGTGGCTTCTACGCGCCTCTGCGTGCGTGTTTGTTTGTGTGTGTGTGTGGATCTGTGTATATGCGTGTGTGTGTGTGTGTGTGGCTTGCCAAGTGCAAGCGGAAATGCACAAAAAAAAATTAATGAGCTGTAGGAGAAAAACTTGTGAAATGCCACTTGTTTGCCGATGAAGCCACAAGCTGTTGCAAGTGCAGAGTGGGGAAACTTTTTGAATGAAAATTGCGGAAAAATTGAAAATCATAATTTTCACTTCTCAATGAAACAATATTTGTTCGTTTTGTGGGTGTGTATGTGTGTGTGTGTGTGTCAATTCTTCACAACAAATAGTCAGCAGGACAGCCAAGAGGGGGCTTCTCAGAAATATTCAGAATCCCATAAACATCAGAGAAAAATCTATTACTCACCAAATTTTCCACTTCTACATCTATTTGCAGTCAAATGTCGCTGTGAAAATGTCGCCGCCAACTAACGGTTGTAACGGCCAACAACAAAAGCAACAAAAGCATCAGAAACTGCGCATGCAACAAAATGCAACGACAGCAGAATTTTTTGAACATTTAACAAACTAAGATAAGAGAGAAATCAAATTGAAGATGAACTGAGAGTCGTTGGCTAAACATTTTAAAAACCAAGACAACGCAGAAATTCGAATTGGCTAAAATATTTTGGTATAAACGAAAAATTATAAAAACAACATTTCAAAAAAGAAAAGAAAAGAAACAAAAACAATTTTGGCATTAAGCTGCGTGCAAAGTATGTGAGAAATACTTGTAATTATAAATCAATAATTTCTTTGGCTAATTAACTAAACAAAAATTTAAACATTAGAAAAACAACAACCGACGTCCACACGTGAGCATTTCTCGTCTATAAAAACAAACAACAACAACAACAAATCAATTCTAAGCAATTAAATGTAACTTAAAACCAAACCCAAAAGCCCAAAAACAGCATCAGCTAACGTCTCAATAAAAAAATTGTGAGGGGAAGAATATCAGCAAAAATTTAAGCCACAAATCAATTGGTAATATCTTCAAAATTATTGGTTCGGACATACCGCAATACTACACCAACACAGCAGCAAAAGCAACAGCAACAACAACAACTACAGCAACAACGTTAACAACAAATATCAACAGATACAACAACAACAACAAGCAAAAGCAGAAGCAGAAGCAGAACGTGTGTGTTAGTTTGCATAAAAATTTCGTTTCGACATAAAACAAAAAAGTAAAAAATAATAACAAAATAAAAAGGCAACAAAGAATATAAAACTGAGAAAAGAAAAGAACAACAGTCGCAAAGTTATATGTGGATGTGTATAAATAAATAAATATCGTCTATATATATTTAAAATTATTATAAACAAGTATTTGGTAAACACTTTTCCATACCCACATTATAATTACAAACTGAACTGTAAACAAAAACAATAACTTTGGAAAGTGCAGTGCAGTGTGAAAAAAAACAAACAAACAAAATTGTAACAATTTTTTATTGCATTTTACACCAAGGATTTGGATTAACGCGAAAATTTGCAATTTGGAGAAAAAGGTGAGTGTCGCAAAAATTCGAAAAAGGGAAGAAAATCCATTCAACGAATAATAATGTAAAGGAATTAATGCCAGCAAGTTATACCCTGTAATCGAAGGGTATACTAGAAAGTCGTAATGCTGCATGTACGAGTGATACATACAAGTATTATGAAGGGGCGGCAGACCCCATATTATAGGTGCATATATAATCAGCATGACATGCCTGCCTGTCTGTCTGTCTGTCTGTCTGTCTACCTGTCCGCCCGCCCGTACAACAACCAAGTGCTTTCGAGCCACATCAGCTAGCCTGGCATGTAGTCCTGTCTCAGCCATTCGCGGAGCGAGTTGTTTGCGAGTCATGCATACCGTATATATAGTACATATATGTATGTAGCTGCCATAGGGCCGATCGGCGGAAAGGTCACAGCCAATCGCATAACTTCTTTATTTATGGAGCGATCTTCGCCAAATCAGTTCCTTATAGAACCTCCCATGCAACCTCAATTTGTCAAACAACTTTGCGGCAAGCCAGACATTTTCCTAAAGTCATAGTTTGGGGAACACTGCCCTGCATCTGCATCTCATCCACATCCCCTGCATTTGGGAATTCTACAGAGCAGCGCCCGAGTATGCTTTTAACTATCGATTCGAATAATCTCGCTGTCCCATCGGACTGTTTATCGGAAAAGCACTTTGTGCTTTGTTTTCAAATATAAATAAAATATGAAGAATTTAATGGGAAGACTAATTTATTACCCAGGAGATGCCAGACAAGCTTTTCGATTCCTCACTAGACAAGTTAACTGAGACTTTTGAATGCAGTAGAGAGAATATCGATAAGTGAATATATGTAGTTGGTAAAAAATGTATATGTTCTGTAAATGGAAGAAACTAACCATGTGCTGCTGAGTAGAAAGTATATTTAAACCATTTCTGATACTGACTATATTATATAGATTAGATAATCTATATCGAATGTTATTGTTTGTTTTATTGAATATTTTTTTGAAAATTATAAAATTCGTCAACTGAATTTAATGTACTAGCAACATAAGTAATTGACTACAAGTATATATCTGAAAAATGTGCTGATTATTTTGAGGGATAAAACTCTGAATGAAACTCTCTTCACAATTTTCGTGTCGTATTTGGTCGTAGTTGGTCGTAAATTGTAAGCCAATATTTTTGGGAGTTCTTTCTATTATATTTCCAAATTCAGATCAATCTGGAATTTTCATTTCTACAGTAGCTCAATTTTTCTATAAGTGTTTTTATTTGGATATGTAGGATCTAATGATCTAATTAGCGGTTGTTTTCGTATCTCTAACTAACTGGTACAAGAGTCAAGAAAATAAATGCATATGTATGTATTTATATTTGCGGAATCTATCATATTGTTAGAACAGTAATAGTTTTAATGAGTTTTCCTTAACTTTCATTCAGGGAAAGACTCAAAATGTTTTGCAGAGAACACCGCCATTGTATATGTGCGAGTATATAGTTCGACTGTCTTTCAAAATTCAAATACAGTTCATTTCGAAAAACATAATTCAGTGAAGATTTAGATCCAATTTCTATTCGATCGACATTTCAGTTTCATTGCTTGTTTACAAATTTTCGGATTTCTTAAATAATATATTTTATTTATGATTCTTATTATATTTTCTTCATTTTGAAATTATTTGAGTATTTGACTTTAATATTTTATTCAATTCAACAATTAATTTTTGGGTTCTTTTAATGGAAGTAAGGGCTGCAGCCATGAAATGAGTTTAAGTTTATAACTTAATAAATATTTCAACTAATCTTTTACAATATTTTAATTGAACGATCTTTCAAATGTTCAACATTTTTAGGCGCTCGAAATATATTATGTAGGGTGTAGAGAACGCATTGAAAGCTGCTCCATTGATTGCCATTTAAACAGCCACACACAAATTTCGTTTCTTAAATTGCAACACTAATGTTGCCAACTTTGGCGCATATATACAAAATACATATTTATACATATAGAAATACCTATGGTTTGTCCAATGCTGTAGTTACGAGCCTAGCAACAGCGTTTTCGAAAGTTGAGGTCTGTTTCAAGCCATCGTCGTCGCAAACATTCGCAAACAATCAGAGGCCGAGTGTGCGAGACTTGCGCATAATGCGGTCACACAAACAAACATAAATATACTATAGTATACTTGTATATAGTATATAGTATATAGTCTATTCATATGCATGTAATAATAATTTATGCCAACCATTTAACAAACAGCCTCTCAAAATGTTGTCTACGCACTTGGCGCATGAATTATGAAGTGTGCGTATTTCGTTGTGTCCTCAGCAGCCTCAGCAGTGCATATTAATAACAATTATGCGTGAAGCGGGAGAGGGAAACAAAAAAATGAAAAACAAAAAAAAAAGCAAAAGTTGTCTTAAACAATATTTACGCACTTTGCAAGCGACCGACGCACACACACACACACACACATACACACCCCTTTGGCTGTGAACTGCAAACATTTCGTGCATAAATTAAATAAAAAAATATTTTTTCTACTCTTGCCTTTCTGTTGCTTTTGTTGTAGCCATTGTTGTTGTTGTTGTTGTTGTAGTTGTTGTCCAACTACGTCGCTCGCTTCGCAGCGCTTTTAGTGCGTCTCGCTAATGCGACACACAACCCCCTTGCCGCCTCTGCTGCAGCTACTCAGCCGATGTTGCTGCCACGCTGACCTACTTAGCAGCCCAGTCGCTGCCACTTCCGCTGCCGACGTCGCTGCTGACGCTGACGTTGCCGTTGCCGTTGCCGTTAAAGCCGCCGTCGAGCTCAAGTTCCAAATTATGCCTCTGTACTTTTTTTTTCTTTTTGAACCACTATGCGTGCGTTTTAAATATAATGCGACTGACTGCCTGACTGTCTCCGTACTTGTCTGTCTTTCGTCTTGTTGTTCGTGTTGCTGGTGTTGTGTTATTTTTCTGGGTCTTCCGCATTTAATTAAATGCACACAACTATAACGGCGACTAGAGCATACAATTGGTACGTTTCTCTACTACAGGCTGCAGGCGTGGCAGTTCAAATAATACATCTAGTATATTAAGATAAGCCGTCTATCTGGGGTTCTTAATTCATATCGGAAGCCTTGCCATCATCTAAATAGATAAACGGGAGTCGAACGCAACCTTCCAACCTTTCTCGGATACACAAAGAACTCCATGCATAGACTACCTCCCTACGAGAGACTACGAACCAAATTATTAAAAACAACCGTAAACTCAAGAATCACACAAATCACAATCCATTTTATAGAGTCCCCTACCTTAAACATAGGCATAGAAATAGCCTTGACTATTTAATCCTTGAAAGAATTTCCCTGGCCGAGTCGTCCTTCTCTAAAGATATTTCTGCAGTCCACAAGGATGCTACCAATCCTAGCTTCAAATACTCGTTCAGACGAAGACTCTTTCGAAATTGCTGCTCTGCGAAGCAGATTTCTTCAGTGAACTCCGAAAACGCTTAACTTACTTATTATTTTTCTGAAGGATCTATGTATGTATATAGAATTAATTATTATTATTTGGCCCCATTAATTATTGAAATGTGTCATTCTGAACTGATATAAGAAATACTTTTAATGTTAAGACTAGCTAAGAGGGTGCATTGGTGCTGATCCTAGCCATAACTATTGCATATGCTGAGGTCAAATAATGAATCCAATTAAATCAATAGCTGTAGCAATATAAATCAAGATATATAGAAATGAAACCCTAGACTTTTCAGAAGTTTCGAAGAGTGTGAAGCCGATTTCTGCCCAGGCCAGAGTTGTGGCTCACAATTCCACCCAATAAGCCTATTTATTGTGAGTTATATCAACTATATCTACTCTGGAATATCGTCTGCACTCTAGAGCTTGCTTGAAGATGATCAAAGATTGTTGTGCCCAACCAATGTTCCCTGAAACAATTTTTGTAGTAGAAGTAGCCTTCTCTGGCCATATACCCTCCCTTGTGTGCTTGTTCGTGGCTGCGTGCGCTTTGCTGCATTTTCACTTTACGGGCAATTGTCGGAAGTTCACGTGGTTTCTCACACACTCACAGACACAAACACACACACACATACAAATGCATGCACGTGCATTTTCATAATGTGTCGCAGCCAGTTTTTCCCAGAATAGACAAAGGTCTAAGCTTGCTTTTTTGTGGGGAGCAGACAGCGCGACTTTTGTATTTTGAATTTAGTTGTTTTTAGTTGTTGTTTTGTTGTCATTTTTGTTGTTGTTGCTGCTGTTGCAATTGTCAAAGCCAAAAGCCAGAGACAAGCTTACGAAATGTTTTCCATGCGTCGGCACTTGTACAAAGTGCGTGTCCCCCTCCCTCCCCAGCCCTTTACACACTCTTCGTAGTTTTCGCGTCTCGCACTACATGCTTTTGTTTAGTGTGCCTCTCTTGAATGCATTCTGTGGAACAGTTTTTTGTGGCGTTTTATTACTTGCCACTGCAGTTGTTTGAATTTTAATGTGCAGAGCTAAGTCAGCGCTTCTCCGAGTAATACGACAATAATAACAACGGTTCGAGTAATGGGCTCCCGACCCATTGTTATTAAGTACACTGGCTTGGACTTCTGTCTCATTTCGTTTTATATTTTTTGTAGTGCCATGCAGCTGTATGTAAATGGCCCAACATTTGGGGCAATGTGAAAGCTAAATTGAGCCATTTGGCCATAATTACGACTCAATCAGCAACAAGGATACTGCCTTTAAATAAAATGATAACCTTATTTAAAACATTTCAGTCATTTATGTGGACAAGCACCTTAAATATAATACTTTTCCATCGCATCAATAGCGTTAGAAAAACAACACTATTCTGATCGATTGAAGCGTCTGTCGAGGGGACCGGGATGACCGCTTGGCTAGAAAAACATAAAACTAGATAAAACCATTATTTAGCTTTTATTTTACAAACTATTAATCACAGAATGCAGTCCTTTTAAAATAATATTCACAGTAGAGCCAGAAAGCTCTCCTTAAAAAA